CTCCTGCTGCTTCCTGTTCAACTTGAATGATTGTGGTGTGGGGTGGGGAGAGGGCTCTGGGCTTCCTCCCGTAACAGCATCTGAGGCTCTTTCCAAAATTGCAATGCTCCCGGGGGCGCTGGGAGCATCTCTGAAAAATAGCTTTCATGTAATCATGGCTCTCAATGACAGAGTTGAAAATTCTCACTAGGTTACTTTGGCCCAAACCTCCTCATTCCTGAATACTTCCCGCTGCCCATGATAAACAGCTGGTCTCTTAAAATGGAGGGTTAAGACTTGACCTTGAATATTTGAATTCTTAGTGGTTTCCAAAGGGGGCTACACAAGAAAATCCACTGGGGCTCAAGAGGGATATAATAATGCTTCCCTTTTCATATCATTTTCAATTTCTATATATATGTTAATTTATCATGTGTAAAATATATTAGTACAGTAGCATGTGCATATAATTTAAAATGGATAAACCAAACATATTGAAGGCTATGCTTTAATTTTTTTCCAGAGGAGAATGAATATCAAAAACGTTTGGAGGCCACTGCCTACAAGAATAGATGATATAAGCAAACCAGTCACATTGGTTCTGACTCCTTGGTGTCCCCCACAGCTTTTCACCTGCACCTGGCAGTGGCTTCAGGCTCCCACACTTTCCTCCCTTGCTGACCTCAGTGACAGCGGCCCTGGGAGAGCGTGGTCTGGGCAGCACCTGGCACATTAGATGCCCTGCCTCTTGTCAACCCCTGGAACCACTACCAGGCTGAACTGGCTTTGGCCAGGCACATCCTAGCTTCTTCAGCCCCTGTGATACAGAGTCATAACACCACAGCCTCAGAAAAGTCCTAGACTAGTGGTTCCCAAATCTGGTTACACATCACAACATAAAAAGTGGGGGGACTCTTTAAACACCCAGCTCCACCCCTGGAGAATTAGATTCTTAGAGCTGGGGTGGGACCCAGACATTTATAATTTTTAAAAACTCTTTTAGTGATTCAAAGGCATAGCCAGGTTTTGGAACCAGCCATGTAAGACAATTTCTCATCCTGTCCTTGAAGGAAAGATGTGAGACTTCAACTGAGAAAATATAGAGGACAATCAGGGAGACCATTGACCAGGCTGAGATCCAGGGATAATTCTGGGAATACCAGTTTTTCCTAATTTGATGACACAATCTTTAAGGATCTAAGGAGTTAGTGAAATATTTATTAAATGGTATGAGTTGAATGAATGAAAGAAACATGCATCAGTTGGAATTAAACCAGCACACCCTTGAAGACTCTCCCTCTCCCTCTCCCTCTCCCTCTCCCTCTCCCTCTCCCTCTCCCTCTCCCTCTCTCAAGATGGTGGGAGATACCAATGCCACCTGCCCACTGGCATCCCTCTCCCATAGTGTCCTCTTCTTCTTCCAGGGCATGAATTGTTCTGAAGCAGAAGAGATGTGTTTTGGTCTAAGACTTCTTAGGACCTAGAGTTTTGTGACTGACTCTCTCTCTCTCTCTCTCTCTCTCTCTCATTTTTTTGTTTTGTTTTGTTTTTCCCCCTTTCTTACCTATCTCCTTACCCCTCTCCCCTTTGGAAACTATCAGCTTGTTTTCTTTATCTATGGATCTGTTTGTTTTGTTTTGTGTATTCATTTGTTTTGGTTTTTTTGTTCACATTTAAGTGAAATCATATGGTATTTGTCTTTCTCTGTTTTACTTATTTCACTTAGCAAAATACCCTCTATCAGTGGTTCTCAACCTGTGGGTCGTGACCCCTGAAAATACATCCTGCATATCAGATATTTACATTACAATTCATAACAGTAGCAAAATTACAGGTAAGAAGTAGCAACGAAAATAATTTTATGGTTGGGGGTCACCACAACATGAGGAACTGTATTAAAGGGTCGCGGCATTAGGAAGGTTGAGAACCACTGCTTCCATTCATGTTCTTCCAATGGCAAGATTTCATTTTTTATGACTAAGTAATATTCCATTGTATATATGTACCACTTCTTATTTATTCATTCATCTATCAGTTGACACCCAGGTTTCTTCAGACAGAGAGGGACTGTGGTGATGTTATAGGAATCTGGGCCAGTGCCTACCATGGTAATTCACTCTCTTTTCTGGGTCCAACAGAGTCTGAGAGCCCCTTGCCCCACCCCAGACTATACAGGAAGAGCCGAGTGGCTGGGAGTTGGTTCTCACTGAGCATGCCAGCTCATATCCACATGGCGGATCCCAGCACAGGAAGCCAGGTTCCTGCCACACAGGACAGGAGTGTTGCATTGCCTGCCTCCCAACCTGGGACATCATCATTCCCTTGTCATTTAAGAGATTTGGGATCTGACACAGGGTGCAACCAGGCTCCTCTTCCCTTCTCACCTCTACTTCTAACAAGGCCACTTGAGCCTTCTCGTGAGCATAATCGCACTGCGGGCTTTGGAGCAATACTGACCTTGGTCTGGACAGCTTACCGAGGTTTGGCACCAAATAGGCCTGGTTGCAGGTTCTGTTCCCACTTGGTGGCTCTGTTCTTGGAACTGGGTTCCTGGCTTTTGCTGAGGGTTTTCATATACCTGCACCTGTGATCCCTGCTTGGCACCCACCCCTTCTTGGCTTTCCTCAGTCGTCCTGAACCTCCCCAACTCAGAATCCAACCCTGGAATTTCTTTTCTCCATCTCTCTGTGGACTAATTTATCTGTCTATCGATTTATTTATTTTGTCACAGCTTTGTTGAGATATTCACATACCATTATAAATCACCCATTTAAAGTGTACAACTCAGTGGCTTTTTAGAATATTTAGAGTTATACAGTGATCAACACAATTTTAGAAGATTCTGTTCACCCTAAAAAGAAACCTCATACCTACCAGCAGTCACTCTACTTTCTCCAAACCCACCCCCAGCCCTAGGCAACTGTCAATTTACTTTCTGTCTCTATGGATTTTCTTATCCTAGACATTTCATGTAAATGGAATCATGTAAATGGAATATATGCTTCTTTGTGACTGGCCTCTTTCACTTAGCATAATATTTTCAAGGTTCGTTCATATAGTAGCATGTATCAGTATTCCATTTATTTTTATTGCTAAATAATATTCCATTGTATGGAAATACCACATTTGTTTATCTATTCATCAGTTGAACATTTGCGTAATCCAAGGTCATGAAAATATGCTCTTATATTTTTTTCTAAGAGTTCTACAGTTTTAGCTCTTACATTAAGTCTGATCCATTTATAGTTAATTTTTGTAGAGGTAGTGGCCCAAAGGCATTCTTTTGCAGTTGTCCAACACAATTAAAAGACTATTCTTTTCCCCCATTGAATTGTCTTGGCACCCTTGTTGAAAGCTGAATCTTTAGATCAGTTTGGGGAGTATTGCCATCCTAACAATATTAAGTTTTCTCATTGGTGAACACAAGCGTATTTTCGTTTATTCCCTGAATCTTTTTAAAAAATATTTATTTATTTATTTGGGAGGGAGGGAGGGAGGAAAGGAAGGGGGGGGGGAGAGAGAGAGAGAGAGAGAGAGAGAGAGAGAGAGAGAGAGAGAGAGATCCATTTGTTGTTCCACTTATTTATGCACTTATTGGCTGTTTCTTGTATGTGCCCTGACCAGGGATCAAACCCACAACCTTGACCCATTGAGACAACATTCTAACCAACCAAGCTACCCAGCCAGAGCCCCCTGAATATTGAAACTATCAAATGCCCATAACTGTAGAACTTCATGTCTTTTTTGCAATATTTTGCCTCCCTGACTTGACTTCCTTGTAATGGGTCTGTCTCAACCCAAGGGGACACCTAGTTATTAGGTTGCAAATCAAACTAGTCTGAGCCACCACTGTCTACAAATCCCTTAGCTCACTGTCTCCTCATTGAAGGCATGAGCAGTGAGAGAGGATTCTTGGTGATGGAGAGAATGTTCCAGAGGTATATGATTTCCCTGTGATACAACCAGAGTTGGGAAATAGAAACAGAGGATCACACACATCTGAATTGTGCCACCAAATTTAATCAATAAAGGCCCAGGAGAGGTGGACAAGTCCTCAAGGATGCAGGTTTCCAGGAGACGAAAGGTGGAATGGCTTGAAACGACCCCGTCTGGGAGGAGCATACTTTGTGCCGACCTGAGTCAGTTCACCAGCACACTGTCATTTATGGAGAGTACACAGGAGCTCACAGCAGGACATCTCACAGGTCCCTGAAATTTCTGTGTCTTATTCCTCTTTTCCCAAGAAGGAAGGCATTTCACTTTCACAAATTAATCCTCTGGGCAATCAGACATGCTTTGTTTTTCCTGCCTGGGACTGAGAGTGGTTGGATGGCCCAGCTTTCCCCTGGAAGCAGGGCCTGGGAGCCTGGACGCCTGCCATGCCCAGGCAGAGAACAGCAGGGGTCGCTTCCTTGGGCTTTTGCATCTCTCAAAGGCAACCATCACTCCAGCCTTCCACCTGAATACTCCAGGAACAGTGATCCTGTACATGATCTTACTGGGGTGGATGCTTCCAGAATGCCGGGCACCTGTGCTCTCGGGACTCCACATTGGAGTATAATAGTGCAGAACCATACCCCTGTATACTTTGTGCTGATGTGAACAGAAATGGTCTGTTTTTTAGTTTGAATTTTCCAGTCTAGATCTGCAGGGCACAGTTCCAGCAGGTGGGGGAAAAGCCTTCATGGATGCCAATGCACTACTGAGAACAGAGAAAGCCATGTGTCCCCGGGAGCACCTTTATGGGCCACTCCTACCCAGAGCTGGATTTTAATATTCTAGACTATTATATCTATAAAATTCCCGCAAATCTTCTTTTCTACCTGTTTTAATTAGGTTAGCTTACGTTAGGTTGTTAGGGCTGCGGTTACAAACCAACCCTGAAATCTAATATGGCTTTATATGTTAAAATGTTATTTCTCACTCATGCTAGGTCTCCTGAGCCATTGCCTTGGTGCCTCGGGGAGGGGCAGTGACAGCTGGGAATGCCTGTCAGGCTAACGAAGTCCTTGCACCTCCAGGTATGGCTCTGCGGGGGCAGCATGGAGGTCCTGCCTTGCTCACGGGTGGCCCACATCGAGCGGAAGAAGAAGCCATACAATAGCAACATCGGCTTCTACACCAAGAGGAATGCTCTCCGGGTGGCTGAGGTCTGGATGGACGATTACAAGTCTCATGTGTACATAGCGTGGAACCTTCCACTGGAGGTAGGGTCCAGCAGCCCTCCCCATCAGCGATCCTTGTGTTGGACGGGACATTGATCCCTTTAATAAGCTGATGCTTCCTCCCCAGAAAGATGCTCAGACTTGTAACATTATGAACGCATTTTGAGGGGGTCCACAGAGCTCCAGTTTTTAGAACCCTCACTGTACAGGGGGACGGTGACAACAGAAACCTCAGAATCTATTTACAAGGACTAGAAGGGTCGGATTGGGTTAGTCCCAGTCTTATTACAGTCATCTGGATGCCCTGCTTCTGAACATGCACTGTGCTCAGAAGAGCCTTGCCCAAAACTTTTGGCACCAGACCCTGTCATCTGCTCTAACGGCTTGCCCTCCCGTGGAGCTCCAGCTGCCTCGTGGCAGGTGCCCCCACTGCCTGCTGAATCCCTTGTTTACGTGGCTCTTCAGCTCTTCCCCTTATTCTGCCCAGAAGGAAGCCTAGGAAAATGCCCGTGTTACCGCAGCCCTTTGAGTCTCAGCCCCGCCACCTACTAGTTGTGAGATCTTGAATGAATCCATTTAGACAGCCTTTGTACCTTGGGTTCCTCAGCTGTAAAACAGGGATAATAGCAGGTCCTCCTTCCTCGGTGGTTGTGAGAACCATATCTAAAGTACTAAATCTAAGTACCGGTGACATCCTTAGAGCAGCGCCTGGCAGGGATATGGGAATGCGGGTGAGTGTTGTTTGTCCTCCACGGCACAGCACGGTGAGCCGAACCCCCAGCCACAGCTGGGTTTACCTCGTCAGCCAGATGTCCAAGCCATGCCCTTGAGAGGATTGCCTAGAATGTTCCTGCTGAGAAATGGCAGCCCCTGTCTTTCAGGCGGCGGGAGCCCAAAACAGCAGAAATGCAGTTGCATATGTGCAAGGTCTGTGGATAACGAGGATAAAAGTGAAGAATTTATATCATTGTTGTTACAATTGTAGAAATAAGGTTCTACATTATTGAATACCCCCATGGCAATGGAGTGCTTTGAGCTGAGACACTGTAAGTGATTTTACATGTTATGATATCAAGATAGGCAACATCTGGTGAGCCCTTACTGTGTCCCAGGCATAAGATAAGTTCCTTATTTGTAAGATCTCATTTAGCCCTCAAAACAACCTCGAGACTTAGGAACCATCTGCCTCGGTTTCCTCATCTGTACAACAGGGATTGTTCACATTTATCTCCTAGGGCTCCTGGGAAGCTAAAAATGAGGCTTAGAACAGAGCATGGCAAAAAAAAATTAAGTGCTCGGTAAATGCTAACCTGATGTGAACCTAGTGTGACGTCCATTTTATAGATGGGTAAACCAAAGCTCTGGAGGTTAAAAATGACTTGCTTATTAAGGCCCTGCACATAGCATGTAGCGGGGAGGGATGTGAAATCCAGTCTTCATTCGCCTCTGCCCGCACCCTGTGATGTCAGCGGAGTAGGTGTTATTTCTCCCATTTTGCAGATGAGGAGCTGTGACCTAGGATGGTGGTGTGACTGAGAGTCCGGAGACCTCAGGGCTGCTGACTATCCCCATGCCTTCTCCATCATCACAAACAGCCTCTGGTCCCTAATGCCAGTGTCCCCACCACACTTTTCACACGTGACCATTCTCATTAACCATGCTCAGTAAATTAAAACAAAGAGTTAAATATCGGTGCCCAGGTTTGCTTTTGCATTTTAATGTTTGACATTTAAAGGGCTGCTCCTTTGGAAATCATTGTTTGGCTGCTGAGGATGAAGTCTTAATGAAATCATTGAACTCTCCTGGACCCCCAAGATGCTGCCTGGCCTCCCCACCTCTGTGGAGAGCAGCCTGTATCCCCTAGTTCAGGGCCATCTTGTGGCTGAGTCTGTGGAGTCATATTTCAGCTACTTTATTTCTCCCTGTCAGCACACAGCAGCCCATTACAGGTTCATTTCTGTAAAAGCAGAGTGAATTATTCATTAGGACATTATTACAAGCTTTGCAATGGAAAATTATTTTCACTTCTGCATAAATGAACTCCACAAAGGGCCAACAAAGGGGGAAATTACACCTGTGCAGAAAAGGAAGGCCGGGGGTGCTGCAGAGGCATCTATTTTCTTGTCTTAATCAAATAATTCCTCTAACTGTCTCGGATAGTCACTCAGGAAATGTGGGAGAGGCGCAGCTGGGAATGCAGGCTGCCCCACAGGGCGTCCCGGGCCCCTTCGCACAGCGATGATCGGGGCAGCTGATTGGGGACCGCGTGATGCGCTCAGAGGACGGTAGTGTCCGGCTTGGGAATAGATGATCAAATAGGTGCCCTTCTTCCGCCCTTCCCAGTAAGCATGCAGAGGAATTAAGATTTCTCTCTGTTTTCCTGAGCGTGACGCCACCAGTGCTTCTCTTCGGCCAGAGCTCCCCGGTCACTAACGCCCTTTGCTTCTCTCTCCTTTCAGAACCCAGGAATCGACATAGGTGACGTCTCTGAAAGGAGAGCCTTAAGGAAAAGTTTAAAGTGTAAGAATTTCCAGTGGTACCTGGACCACGTTTACCCAGAAATGAGAAGATACAATAACACCATTGCATACGGGGAGGTAATGAAGACCCTACATGCTCTCAGCGTGGGCTGTATATTGCTCTGATGGGGGGAAATAAGGAACAGAGTCATTCATTCATTTACTCATTCATTAATTCATTCAGTGAGTGGATTTTGATGGTGCAGTCCCTGACAGCAGGGCTCTCACCAGCTGGTAGAAGAGACTAAAGGAATGTTACAATGGGGCACGGGCCTTCAGCCTGTGGTGTGGAGTGGCTGATGAGTTCTCTTTGGGACATTTGGATTTTGAAGTCCCCTGGGGCCTGTAAATGGGACATTCACTAGGAAGTTGGGTATAAAGTGAGGTGGGGACTGGAGCTCTCCATTGCTCAATGCTGTGGCCCGGAGCCATTTACCACCAAAGAAAGGGTGCAGATGCGCTTCTCGGATTTCCTCTGATGAGATAATATCACCTTTCTACACCTGAATTTTTTCTTATTATACATGTCATAAATATAGGTTTTAGAAAAGTTTTAAAATAATAATAATAGCAATGAACACTTACTGGGTGCTTTCAAAATGCCATGCACTATTCTAAGTGCTTTTTACATATGAATTCATTTCACTGTCACCTTATGAGGTAGTAGTATTTCCCATTGTATTGATAAGAAAGCTGAGACTTAGAGAGCTTAAATGAATTACCTAAGTTTTATAGCCTATCAGTCATGTAGCTGGGATTGGATCTAGGCATAGATAATGTGTACATTTTGATGTATGGTCTTCTTTATTGTGTGTGTGTATTGTTTTTTACTAAAAATATATATATTTATATACACACATGTGCATTTTATACACACATTCTCCATCTCTGAGTATAGACTGATGCTAGCAAGGCTCTCTTTGACTTAGCGTGTTTACTCTTTGTATAGTTATGAATTTTCCTACTTTATGCCTGGTGCCTTTTATGATTTTAATTTTTACTGAATTTATTGGGATGACATTGGTTAATAAAATTATATAGTTTTTTAAGTGTACGGGTCTATAACACATCATCTGTATATTGTACTATGTGTTCACCATCCCAAATCAAGTCTCCTTCCATCACCATTTATCCCCCCTTTACCTTCTTCTACCTTCCCCCACCCACCTTTCTCTCTGGTAATCACCATACTGTTGTCTGTGTCTATGAGGGTGTGTGTGTGTGTGTGTGTGTGTGTGTGTGTGTGTGTGTGCGTGTGCCTGTGCCTGTGCCTGTGCCGGTGTGTGTGTTTGCTTAATCCTCTCACCTTTTTCACCCAGCCCTCCAATTCCCCTTCACTCTGACAGCTGTCAGTCTGTTCTCTATGAGTCTGTTTCTTTTTCTTTTTTTTTTTATTGATTTCAGAGAGGAAAGGAGAGGAATAGAGAAACATCAATGATGAGAGAGAATCATTGATCGGCTGCCTCCTGCACTCCCCAAACTGGGGATCAAGCCCACAACCCCGGCATGTGCCCTGACCAGGAATTGAACTGTGACCCACTGGTTCATAAGTCAACGCTCAAGCACTGAGCCGTGCTGGCCGGGCCTATGAGTGTTTCTATTTGGCTTGTTAGTTCATTTTATTCATGAAATTCCACTTATGAGTGAAATCATATGGTACTTGTCTCTCTCTGGCTTATTTCATTTAGCATAATGCTCTCTAGGTCTACCGATGCTGTCACAAAGGGTAAGATTTCCTTTTTATGGCTGAGTAGTATTCCATTGTGTAAATATACCACAGCTTTTTTATTCACTCATCTGTAGATGGGCCCTTGGGCTGCTTCCAGATCTTGGCTATTGTAATCAGCTCCAGGTTAAACCATTAGGGTCCAGGTGAGGTGTCTCCCCTGAGCGGGAATTAGGAAAGGGAAGCTTGCTTCTTGCAGGGGCAGTCTGTGTCATGCAGACTCCAGAGCCAGCCTGCTGGATGAATCCACTACCCAGAGTGGCTCCTCTCAGCTTCCATTCCTTCATCTGTGAAATGGGGGAAGGAAAATGCTTACCGCATGGGGTTGTTGGGAAGATGAAACGCATGATGTGTAGCGTTCTTAGAACAGTAACTGGCACCCAGCAGTAATTATTAATAGGTCCTTGTCTTTTCTTCTTCAAATAAAAAGGCATGGTTTGGGGTGTTTTGTTTGTTTGTTGTTATCAAAGTAAGATCAAACATAAAGGAAGCATTGGAAAATGGTGGGCAGTGAATGGATTATTTGTAAGACAATTAGGTAAATTGTCTAGCTCTTTGGAAAAGAAAACAATTTAGATTCTAACAGCTTGCCATATCCCAAAGTGAATTTCAGATGAGCTATAGCATTAAATGAAAGAAAAGAAACCATAATAGAGCCATAGGGAAATAGATATGAATCTAATCTCTAAAAGGGGAAGGAAGGGCTTTCTAAGAATCAAAGCCATGAAAGAAAATGCAAAGGAAAAGGATAATGGATCTGAGCTCATAAATATTAAAGTAATCTATACATCAACCAAATAGAGAAATATCTGCCGAACTGGAAATAGGTCTGCCATAAATACTGTAGATGAATGGATAGTATCATTAATATATAATGAGCCCTGAAAATTGATTTAAATAAAAAATTTAACCTAAATAAGAAAATTTAAAATCCCAGAGAAAAATAAAGTACAAAAGAAAATACAATCGTTGAAAAACACATGAAAATTTCTAATTTATTTTATAATCAAAGAAGTGAAAACTAATTTTAAAATACGTTGCGGTAGCTTTTCTCCTACTACCGAATGAACAAATACTCATTGTTAGAATATGTGCTGGTGCTTTGCCAGCAAGGTCTTGGTAATATGAAAAGCCACATCTCCTCTCGTGAGAGTGCAAATTGAAATGAGCTTTTTAAAAAGCAATTTGAACCGCATGTATTACAGGGCTTAATGATAGCCATTCCACTCTTCTCCTAAGCAAATAATCTGAAATGAGGACACAGATTTGAGAGTAAAATTGTTCATCTTAGTGACTTTTTTTTTTTTATAAAAAATTCTGAATCTGACTTGAAGGTTAGTTAAATATACTATCTTAATGGTTTGAATATAGTTTGTAGCTATTTCAAAAGGTTTGTACAAAAGTTTAATGACTTGAGAAAAGTATTGACAATGTGATTCTTAAAAGCAAGTGGAACAGGCAGGTTTTGTGTGGGGACTTTTTCATGTCTCCCAGGTATCACTAGTGTTTATGTGGTAAGATTATAATTAGAAGGACAAAATAGTATTAACAAAGGAAGAATAAAAATGGGAAAATGCAGGAAGATGGCCTCTTTTCAGTAATACATTTAATGCATACATTCTGTAGAAAATATAAAGATGAAAACAAACTTACTCCCAATTCCCAAGCATTGTTAACATTTTCAGTACTTTCTGTTTGCTGAGCTCACCATTATCTGAAATGTGTTTCAGATGGACTATTGCATTAAATGAAAAAAAACCATCACACTAGTCAAATTTAGTTTGTAACAAAATCTACCATTATGTAGATACCACTGTTTTTTAAAATATATTTTTATTGATTTCGGAGAGGAAGGGAGAGAAAGATAGAGACATCAATGATGAGAGAGAACCATTTGCTGCCCCCTGCACTTCCCCCACTGGGGGTAGAGCCTGCAACCTCGGCATGTGCCCTGACCGGGGATTGAACCGTGACCTCCTGGTTCATAGATTGACACTCAACCACTGAGCCACACCAGCTGGGCTATTTGCATTTTATACATTCGTTAAGAATAACTTTGTAGTCAAATTCAGTTCAGTGACAAAATTTACCAACATTCAGACAAGTGTAATTTAATGCTTACAACTGGTAGTTCTTGTCACCACACCAGACCCCAGCCAGTGACGAAGGAGACAGACCCCTCTGAGCAGATGTCAGCCCTGGCGTTTCTGCCTCACTGGACATCCAGTGCCAGTGTCCAGGCTTACTTAGGCCGTGCTTACTTACTTATTCACTTTTCATTCATTTTAAAATATTTTTACCTATATTATCTAGAATGTCTTAAAATAATTTTTAAAGAAAGGTGTGTGTATGCTTTATATCCTGACGGTTGCATGTATGAGACACTGCCTTCCTACATGCAAAAGCATGTCAGTGTGCACAAAACATGGGGCCACCAACTCCCCTGCTCAAAATACTACGGTCGGTCCATACTACCCTCATGGCCTGGACTGCCCTGGCCCCTAGTTCACTTTTGCACTTCTTTTTTTTCCTTTAGGCATTATTATATGAAATATAACAGATATACAGTGTGCATAAAGTATACATGTGCAGCGTAACAATATAAAGCAAACATCCACATAGCTACTACCCGGCTGAAAAACAGAATGTTGCCAGCATCATTCCCACTATCCCTTTTAGCATTTAGTTCAGGAGCCACCTCCCCTCCGTCTCTGAACCCCACTTCTTGATTTACCCAGTTAGTTTGGTTTCCATGGAGAACATAATCTGGAGGGGACCGTGTACATGGAGAAGGCCAGCATTGCCGTTTTCCCGCTGGTTGCGATTGCAGGGTGGTGGGTGGGATGGACACCCACATAGAACACAGTGCACCTGGAGGCCAAATTAGGGGACTTTTGTCTGTTCCTCCGAAGGTGCGTTCTGAAACACTTGGTGCCTGGCCCCGTGTCTGCATACAGTAGATATTTTTTGAATATACAAATAAGTATTGCTGGAGTTCTGCATGATGGAAAGGCCTTTGTGTGCTTTTTGATGACTGTTTTCCATGCCTCTGTGTCAGTAATGAACTGAGACGCTGACCTGTGATTCCCAATGTTACTAAAACCAGCGTTGGTGCTGAAGCCCACTTGGAAAACCAATGGCTGACCAGTGTTTCTTTGTCCAAATGTTTCCTGAGATCCTTTTTCATGCTGGGGAGGGGGAGCCGTGTGGGTGAGGGTCACAGACACAGGATTGGTGCCCATGGCATCCACTGAAGGTCTCTGCTAGAGGGATCGCCTTGCAGACGCAGGCCTTGGTCCACATGGGGTGTCGCTTGACCTTCCCGTTGAGTGGCTGGGACCATGACATGGTGGAATGGTAGTTGGGCAGCAGCAGCTCCATCAGATGAGCTCTGATGGATGATGTTTTTCCTATTCCTGCAGCTTCGCAACAACAAGGCAAAAGATGTCTGCTTGGACCAGGGGCCGCTGGAGAACCACACAGCAATACTGTACCCATGCCACGGCTGGGGACCCCAGGTAGGAGCATCCCTGACCAGGAAAAGAGCAAATTCAGCAGCCCACGGGGGGTTTGTGGGACTTCTGTTGTCTTCTACCTGGGTAGTTGTTACCTGTTCTGTGGGGAGAGTTCTGGTTGTTTCTCTGTGAGTCAGGGAAAAGGTACACAAGTGGTTACATCAGCACAGATATTGAGAGGATCAACGGGCATGAGTCATACAGAAAGGAAAATGTAAACTGGAGGATCGTTTGCTAGTAGGGAAGAGTATGTGTTGTAATTATACCAAAAGCCTGCTTACAACTTCAAAGAAAGAGTTAGCACATTCCCTGGTGAAAACCTGATTGGCATGTCCACCCTGAAAGGCCACTATCAGTTTGATCCGAAGAATGACCTGGTCTGTAAGTGTTGGTTCGAGAGCCAGGTGCCAACTGGCAAGGAGGAAGGTGCTTGCAGTGCATTTCAGAGAACACGTGTTCTCTGATCTCTCATTAGAACACACAAGATACCTCAAAAAGGACAGAATGATCAACCAACAAAGTGAAAACAGAGCCTGATAAATGAATTTCCTTTGACAGCTTTGTGCTAGCCAATGGTGTGTGTGTGTGGGGGGGGGGGGGTGCGCGCGCGTGTCCACATACACCACACACACACACACACACACACACACACACACAAAGAGCTTAGCAGAAATTCTCAAAGATTGGGAATAAGCATATCCAAAAATGTCATTCCACTTGCCATTCATAAAAATTTAAAACATTTTTATGTCAATCAATAGCAATAAAGGGCAAGCTACAACTTGGGAAAACATTTATTATTCAGCTCCAGAGGTGTACTAGATATTTGGTTCAAAGCCAGACTCACAGATTCTCCTGTGAAAGGAAGGCACTGGACAAATTACCCTGAAACCTCCCGTTGTCTCTCTCATGTCCTATGAACACACCTATTCACATGTAAATTTACATTCATACACAAGCACTCATGCATGCATTCATAAAGGCTCGCAGTTTTGTCTGCTCAGAGAACTTTGTTTCCCATTAGGCCAGGACCTGGAAAGAAGAGTTGTGTTCCCTCTACTATCACCACAGGTAGTTCTCATAGTCCAGACCCTCGGCCCTTCAAGGTGATGGGTCCTTCGAAGGAGAAATGCCAGACAAGTCAGGTCTTGAATCCTTTGGTCCTTGCAACCACTCCAGGAAGTAGCTGACAGCTACTGAGGCATGAAGGGAAAAGTGCCTGTTAGCAAAGCAGGCTAGAATCCAAGCCCTCTAGCACAACCAAAGCATTTTAAGTTCAAATGTAATTTCTTTAATTCAAGATTGATTACTGGGCCCTACTAGAATTTACAATTGGATAAAACTGCTGTGAAGAGCAGGAGAATGACTGGGTAGACGGGCTCCTTCCCATTGGGAAATGGGGCATTAGCATCAAAGGCAGCATGGACTAAAGAATCCAGTGAGTGTCTTCATCCATTCATTCACTCATTCTCTCAACAGATACATCTTGATCACCTACTGCGGGTGCTAGTCACAATTGTATTTGGTAGCTGATAAGATATCCACCCTGTTCTCAAGTGGTTTACACTTGAGGGGGAGAAACAAGTAAAGAGGCAGGAAACCTACAGGATACTAAGTGTGGAAGGAGCAAGGTAGCTCAGGGCACTGGGTGCTGGGAGACAGAGGTGCCCTGTTTGCCTGGGGCTTAGAATGCAAGAGGAAAGAAGTGCTGAGAGAAGGGAGATGGAGAGGCAGATCTGCAGTGGCCTGATAATGCCCACACGTCGGTGTGCGGGGGAATCACCTAGAAGACTTGCGAAAGCACCCACTACTGGGCCTCACTCCCAGAGATTCTGAGTTAGGAGGTTGGCGTAGGGTCTGAGATTTTGTGTTTCTAACAAGTTCCCAGATGATGCCAGGGATGCTGGGACTTGACCCTGAGGGCAATGGAGAGTCACTGTAGGGCTCACCTTGGGGAATGATATGTTTACACTGTGCACAAAGACCCGGAGAAGTTCAGAGAGAAATGGATGCTCTTACCACGTAGCTGATTATGGATTGGCAGACCAAATTAGGCTGCTCATTGCTGCCTCCAGTTCTAGGATGCATACTATAAGTCGGCCATGTTTGTCTCCCATCAACTGATTTTTAAAAATATATTTTGATTGATTTCAGAGAGGAATGGAGAGAGAGAAACATCAATGATGAGAGAGAATCATTGATTGGCCACCTCCTGCACACCCCACGCTGGGGATCGGGCCTGCAACCCTGGCCTGTGCCCTGACCGGGAATTGAACTGTGACCTCCTGGTTCATAGGTCGGTCGATGCTCAACCACTGAGCCATGCCGGCCGGGCGATACTTTAAAGTAAGTCTAATGGTGTGTTTTGCTCTACCACGTGTTCAGAATTGGAGTGCACTCTCGGCACTACCCTCCGGCCGCCAGGCTGCCCCTCCCCTGGCTCGTCAAGGTTTCTCTCCTTCCTCCTAACAGCTCCCTCTACGCCAGGAGTCGTTCCCACCAGTCATGTGCCTGGGCATCTTTTTAAACTGCTTCATAAAGTGCTGTGGGTTAATGGAGACCAATTCAAAGCTCTGTAATAAGGCAACTCCCAGAAGAAGGAATTGGTGTTCCATGGACGTTGTTAGCTTAATTAATGGACTCTGTTGTAATTTATTGTCAAACAGCAATTAAACAGAGATAAAATAAGCACTGAGGAGGGTAATTTCCTGTCTTGTAACAGGTGTTTGTCAACAAGATGGAAATGGTTCCCAGCCATTCAGAGAGCCCGTTCGCTGGTGGGTGTCTGCCAACGAGCTCATGACCCGCCTTGGTTTGGTCTGGTTACTAATTTGGATTAGACAAACATTTATTTCTTTTTTGAGCCTAACCTTCATTTAAAAATAGGATCTCCAGGACACAGCAGCTTTTGGTGTTAGCTTGACCCCATTTAGAGCAGAGTCTTGTTCAAGGATGTGACAGCTCCTCACCCCGCTGCAGGCTGCTGCCATCCTGTGCCCAAGTCGGGTGGGTCCCCAAGCTGGAGCAGCCAAGGTCGCCCCACAGGGGCAGAGGCCATGAGAATGGCCTTCTTGGCAGCACCTCCCTGTGTTCTCTCTCAGCCGACCCCCGTACCCTCCCCAACTGCTGCTTCCGATTCCCTTGGTGGCAAAGGTCAAAAAGAGAGAAAGGGGTGGGCAGTGCTGCCCTGAGGGGCTCAGGGGCATGGAGCATCTTCCTGACCCCTTAACACTTCTGGCGGCTCTGGGGCTGCTCTAAGCTGAGCAGTTTGCCTGAGGGCCCCACCGTGTAACAGGCTGCAGTGAGGTCCAGGGCCACAGGCCAGGGCCCTGCCTACAGACAGCTCTGAACACTCAGGCCAGAGGCCTGGCTGGGCTGAGGCAGGGAAGCAAGATGCTGCTGCTGATAAGCCCATTGCTATTTTAGTAACACAGTTAGTGCTGTCTCGTAGGTAGTGGCTGCCCCCTTCACTGATGAGAGACTCATGTAGTGTGTTCCATCCCACTCTTCAAACTCAAGCTCCGTGACTCCTGAACTTGGGCACTCTGCTCTGCCATCTGGGGAGCATGTCTCCAGTCCTCGAGCCCCCAAATGTTCTCTAGCCCATAGCCGGCCATGGTAGAAAGAGCTGAGCAAGCATAGAGCCAATGCTTGGCAAGTGGAATGTCAGAGCGAAGGAGAGGAGGTGGGGGGTGCATGCTCCACGTTTGAGGGACAATCAGGCAATTGGCTGTGGCAAGTGATGGAGGGTGGTCAACAGGGAGAATAGTACTGAGAGCCCTAGGGCTTCCCATCCAGTATCTCAGGTGTGGTCCACGGAACTGCTGGCCACCAGGAGCTCCTTACAAATGCTGATCCCTGAGTCCCAGACACCCAGAAAGTGGGGCCCAGGAATCTGCATGTCAACACTCATCTTCAAGTGCTTTTTTTTCCCCAATTGACGCAATTATTGATCATCTGTCATGTGCAAAATTGTGAGTTAGACATATAATAGTGAAGGTATGTCTCTCTTTGTCCAGGGCAGGTCCAGGTTATGCTTAGTGTTCCAGCCTAACTTTTTAAATTCATAATACTATTTCAGTTTTTATATATTTGAGTTTTTAAGATAAATTTCACTTTTTTTTAAATCATCACTGGAGGATATTTTTTGCATTGACTTTTTAGAGAAAATGGAGGGGAGTGCAGAGGAGAGGGAGAGAGAGAAGATAGAGAGAGGGGAGGGAGAGAGAGAAAGAGGGAGAGAGAGAAAGAGACGTCGATGTGAGACACATCAATTGGTTGCCTCCAGTTCACACCCAGACCAGGGCCAGAGATTGAGCCTACAACCAAGGTACATGCCCTTGACTGGGAATTGAACCCACGACCCTTTGGTCTGCAGGCCAACACTCTAACCACTGAGCAACTGGCCAGGGCTCGCTCTTCTTAACGTATGGTTTTGTGAGTTTTGACAAACATGTGGTCAAGTAACCCCACCACAGTCAAGACATAGAGCAGTTCTGCCGCCCCCTCCATTCCCTGACCCCTTTGGAGAGAAACCTGCCTCTGCCCCAGGTGCTTTACACACATCAAGCCTGAGGGCCGGCTTCACTGCGAGTGTACGGGGGACCCCCCATAGATGCTGCCCATGTACAAACATAGAATGTCCCCACTGCAGGCTCCTCCCGGGTGAGGACCATAGCTCTCCAGCCGCCCATGCGTGGACAGGGCATGACCAGCACAGGGTCCAAGTGCTGTGGCCCTGGGGACTTCGGGGAGAACTTTGAAGCAGCTACTCTATAGTGGGGCATTCTTAAGACAAGGTGTGCACCGTGGGGAGGAACGGAGGGGTGTCAGGCTCTGTGCCGAGGACCTTCTGATTCGCTGGGCTCCGGGGAGGGCACCACGGGTCCCTTCTGTTTGTCCTTCTGTCAGTACACTTTATTCTTCCTCTCCCGCTTTTCTGAGAAGCTCACATCCCTCCCCTCAGTTAATCCATCACCAGAACGACAGACGAGAATTCTTTC